ATAGATAGATAGATAGATAGATAGATAGATAGATAGATAGATAGATAGATAGATGGATATGTTGGCATAGTGTTATTATTACTGTGTAAAGATTATCCTTGTATTATTCAACTGCTGATTTCTGTACCTGGTTGCAATCTGGACATGGCACTGTAATGCTTATTCTATGAATCTCCTGTCTTAATGCTGTATAAACATTACTCCCTAATTATTCTCTGTTTGGTCAATAAAAAGCTTATCAGTCAATGACTGAGTAGAGGAGAGAACAGGGCTAAACCTCAAATCCCAGCGAGGGGAGGGTAGAGAGAGGAAGAAAAAAGGATTTTGGTCAGAAGGTGAGGGTCCAGGAGCTACCATGAAAACACGCATGGAGCAGAGAGAGCCAAATCAATACTAAAATGCAAGTATCTCAGGAATTTTGGTTGGGAAGTAGCCAGATTACTTTAGAGGATTCCAATAGATTAATATCTGCTCAACTATTACGCTTTAAATCTTGTTGAATAAATCAAATAGTCTCTGTCTCAATTATTTGGGAGCTAATTGTATTGGAGAAAAAAATTGCCACTTTAACAAATGGCACCCAACATGGGGCATGAACCCAAGATCCTGAGATTAATAATCTCATGCTCAGCCAGGAATGGTGGCATAAATTTGTAATCCCCGCACTCAGGGAGGCACAGGCAAGTGATCTGTGAGTTCGAGGCCACCCTGGTCTACAAAGTGAGTCTAGGACAGCCAAAGCTACACAGAGAAACCCTGTCTCAAAAAACAAAACAACAACAACAATAAATGAAAGGCTCTATTGACTGAGCTAGCCAGGCTATACAAAAACACTGCCACTTTTCAATCTGAACTAACATAGATAATAGATAGATTAGATAGATAGATAGATAGATAGATGATTGATGGGTAGGTAGATAATAGAATATACATAGATAGGTGATAGATAATAGATGATGGGTGCATAGATAGATACATAGATAGACAGGTAATAGAAGATAGAGAGGTGATAGATAAATAATAGATGATAGATAGCTAGATGATAGACAAATGATAAATGATAGAGAGAGAGATGATAGATGGATAGATAACAATACATAGACAAATGATAGGTAACATGACAGACATTAGATGACAGGTAAGATACCAAATAACTAAATACAGACAGATATGTGTGTGTTTCTGTAGATAAATGAACAGATCGATAAATATATTTTATGAGAAAGAGAATGTACTGGTCATTATCCTGAAAGGAAAGCGACTACAGGAATAAAGGCCTCTCAGAAGTTCAGCAAGATCAAGGTCAGCCAGAAAATGGGTTGCCCATACAATATCACAGAATCTTGAGAAAGGGTCAGAGCCCCGAGGGCAGCAAGGACTCTGCCTTCACCTGCAGTTCTGAGAATGCTGAGCTCAGAGACAGAATTCAACTCTCCCAAAGCTCCAGAGAAGCCTGCCATTGATATCTTGTGTTTAAAATGGCTGTAAAATATATTTTGTTAAAAGAAGTATGTCCATTTGTTTTGATTGTTCCTACTGGTCATTTACAGTACCTGGTAGTTTGGTGTTGGTTTGAGGTGTCCACATTCAGGAAAGGATGCTGACACAGGCTCCTTTAGGCCCTAGCCCATCTTTACTGAATCCTGTTCTGGTGCCACAGACAGCAGAGTCTGAGTTAAAGAAAAAGACTGCACCAGATCCCACCTGCCTTGCCTGTGAAGGAGGCCTCAGTGTTAACAGACCTGCTAACAGGTCTGCATGCCCTCCACTGTCACCCAGTGTTGGTGTTACCTGGGTACTTACAGAAATGCAGCTCTTCAGACCCAACTCCAGTCCTGCTGGATCAGAACCTGCATTTCAATAAGATCCCCAGGCAATCTGCAAGCACTTTCAAAGGGGCTGATCTGCTTACAAGATGCATTATGGAAACACATACATCCCCTTAATTGCCTATAGTTCTTCCCTGAAGATGGAAGAACTAGAAAGACGGCCCATGCTATCATTTACTTTTTCACTTCTGTTTCTTTTTCATGCATCACTCCTCCCACCCTCGTCCAGTCACCCATCCAGTCCATGTCCAGCAAACACCAAGCCCCTCTCTCTTTGCCACTCATCAGAGAGCATCCTGAGAAGACTGAGCAGCTCAGGCCAGACAGTCTATGTGCAGGGGACCCCCTATGGGTCAGCCAAAGCCATTGCTACTTCATCAACAGAAAAGCTGGCCCCTTAAATAAAGATCAAAACACAGACGTGTCAGCTCATGAAGGAAAACCCTGTTAATAAGACCCCAGAATCCTCCAGCCCTTCTGGTTGTTCCCAGGGATCATAAATGACCCTCTTCCTGAATTGTCCTACCCCCCGACCCCTACATCAGTGACCCAGACTAGTGCCAGCCTGTGAATTGCTTTTAAGAAATCTACGATAAGCACAAAAATCACAGCAAATATTTAGAAACTTTTATAGCAATCTGACAGTAATTTTATGTTTGTTTAATACAATCATAAAAAAATTAGAGCTTGTCTTTTGTAGGTATGCCTTTTTTCGTTTTGCTGGTAATTTGCTTTTATTATAGTCTACAAAAGTACAGGTCCACAATGGATTGGAAATAAAAAAGGAAAAACAGGCTGTTTGGTTCAGATGACTGAGAAGCCACATACACACACATACACACACACACTCAGTCCTGGCTGTGTAGAAA